CACTGCCCACCTGTGGTATCGGAGGGGTGACTGGATAGTCTCGTGCCCCGTGGTGGTGGTCCTCCATCCATCTTGTCGAGGGTCCTCCTCTTCTTCACGGACCCTCGCCGCTACTCAGCGTGGTGTCCTTCCACGGGGAGTGCTCACTCCTGAAAGCCTACCCTGATTAGGCACGTGAGAGGAAGCCTCACCATCCTTGTTTCTAAGCAGCAATTGGCTCTACTGATGCCAACACGGCTCGGCTCGTTCTCCTGGCAGCCCGTGGTGCATTCAGTAATCTCTGCCAGTTCCCTGTTCCTGACCCAGCTCTCATGCACGTCAGGTGGTCGACAGGATCGCGGCTCGGGTCAGGTGCACCCCAGTCCCCCAAGTAACGAGGAACACTGTCGCAAGGGCTGTCCTGCAGATTGGCCCACGATACTCCGCCGTTTGACTTCCTGGCTGCTGCCTCCACGGGCGTTGATGTCGAATCAGCACTCTCTCAAGGGCTGGGTTGTCCTCCATCCTCAAGCCCTCTTGGAATGCCCGTGGGGCAGCTGGGCACCCTCAGAGCCAGGCGCCATTGCTGTCCGTGGCCGAGCAGTTAGTCTGTCCACACCTTGGTCGTCAGGGACAAGCACCCTAAGTGCAGCTGCTCAGGGACTGGCCTCTGGGGAGGGGAGGCGGGCCTGCTCCTGTCACGTCACACTCACAGCCTGTCTGACAAGGTAGGGCCTCAAGGTAGGAGCCCCCGAGGGTCACAGTGAGACCAGTGTCACCTAGCCCCTGCACGGCCCAGCTCCTTCCTCCCTTACAGCCCTTCCTTAAAACCAGCCTCGTGCAGACCCTCACACCCATGTGCATCCATGCCCGGCGTCTCCTGGCAGGAGTCGGGGCCAGCGGGGAACTCCGTGCTCCATGGTGGCAGTGGGCACACCGCCCCCTCAAGAATGTGAGCCCTGTCTGCACCTGGGGGACTCTGGGCTCAGACCCTCCTGCAGTGCCCCCAGTGGACACTTGGGGCACTGCTTGCACAGCTGGGTTTGCAGATCTGACAGTGAGCTGGCACTGGAGGTGGCCAGAGAGGCCTGCCAGGGAGGCACAGGACACTGGAGGCCCTGACCGCCCCCTCTTTATCCCCCACAGCCATCTCCTGCAGCAAGTCCATGATGAGCTCCGTAAGCCTAATGGGGGGCCGGGCCGGGGTCCCCCTCTACGACCGGAACCACGTTACCGGGGCCTCGTCCAGCAGCTCGTCCAGCACCAAGGCCACGCTCTACCCACCTGTGAGTCCTGCACTGGCTGGTCCTTGGGCTCTGTGACCCCAGGGTCTCTGTCAGCTCTTACACACACACACATGCCACACATACTATATATCGCACACACAAGCCACACATATTACATACCACACACAGGCTGGGGTCTCTGTGACCTCAGGGTTTCTGACCATCAGTTCTTACATGCACACACACACTCATGCATGCCAGCTTGTGCACACACACACACCCCACACCCTCAGAGCCATGCATGTGCTCACTCCCCTGGCACCTGCCCCAGGAGTCCTTGGTTCCTTCTGTGTCTAGAGAGGGCAGGGCTTGCCCATTGTGGGCAGTCAGGAGCTGCAGCTGCCCACAGATCTGGGCCCTTTGGCTTCCTGACAGCCCTTTACCTGTTGAGCACCCCCCAAGGTCCCCCGTGGGGGGCCTGCCTGTAAGTGCAGGCCTGTCTGGACAGGGCTTCTGGGAACAGCCTGGGGCGAGCTTCCTCGCGGGGTGCCCACCAGCGACACTGTGGGCCCACTGTGTGCCAGCCAGCCCTGGGGCCACCTTCACCAAGGGCTCCGCCCACGACAGGCATGCTTAAACCATCAGTGCCATCGAGTCTGCTGACTCACCGTGGGTTTCCGGGACTGTAACTCTTTATGGGAGCAGCAGAGCACATAACCCACAACAATAGGCTAGACCGGGGGAACCCCAGGGGGAAGGTGTGTTGCTCCCAGGGAGCCCTGGGTGACCCCTTCTTTGTCCCCCACAGATCCTAAACCCACCGCCATCCCCTGCCACGGACCCCTCCTTATACAACGTGGACATGTTCTACTCCTCCAACATTCCTGCCTCTGCCAGACCATACAGGTAAGAGCCCGCCCCGTGACCCTCAGACCAGCAGACAGACCCATTTCACAGATGGGATAACCGAGGGGCGCCATCCAGGCTTGGGGTGGAGGGAGCTGTGCGCTCCGCTGGCTCTGCTGGCTCTGCCCCAACCAGGCCTGACTTCCCCCCGCGAGCTGAAGGGTCCTGAGGGCTCTCGTGTGGTCCTTGGACAGTGGACTGGGCGTGGAGTCATGGGCCTTGAACCGGGCCACGGGGGCCTCCTCAAGCCACCGCACTGCTTGCCACTGCCATCCCCTTGGTTGGCGGGTCTTCTGGGGACAGAATTCCGGGGTGCAGCTCCTTTCCCTCCCTCCAGAATTCTTCAGGCCACTCCTGGGCGCACGCGCGCACTTATTGCCAACAGACGTGTTGTCACCTGACCTTGCTGCAGACCAGCGCTCTTGGGGATAAACCCAGAGCCAAGTTCACTGCCACTGAGTCCACGGCGACCTGCCGAACAGGGTAGAATTGCCCCTGTGGGTTTCTGAGACCGGGACTCTCACTGGGAGTAGAAAGCCCGTCTTCCTCCCCTCCCTGAGGAATCTGCCTGTCTTAATCTCGTCGGGGGAGGCGTCTAAAAAGGGCCCAGTCACACCAGTGGCTTCTAACAGAGTCTGCTGGGCCAGGTCAACGCAGGACAGAGGCAGGGGTTCAGCTCGGAAGGGGATGTGACTGTTTGGGGGGGACCCCAAAGGGGGCATCGTCAAAGCTGTTCCCAAAGCACACGGGAGGATGGTGCGCGCTGACAAGGAAGACGTTGGAGGGAAATTGAAACTTGCGCGGCTGAGAAAAAAGGCCAAGGAGCCCCACTGAGGCTCTGCTGGCCCCTCGTGGGCTGCGAGGGCTGCCCAGCCAACTGCCGCTCGGAGAGCTGACCCCGTTCACCCCCAGCTCTGACCTGGCCCTTCGGACTTTGGTGCCCCAAACTCAGGGTAGTGAAAAGAAACAAGATTGAAGTCCCTTGGGTGAGGCCCAAACTGCCTTTTTCATGGGATTTCCATCAAAGATGGGCCTTTCTACGCCCGTCAAGAACAGCAGTCTCAGAAACCCACGGGGCGAGTTCTGCCCTGAGTCACAAGGCAGGGGTTCGTCAACCAAGAATTCAGAATCTTTAGGACCGAGTTGGACAGTGTAGAGTTCTACTTCTGTAGAATTCTTGTGAGTTCCCGAGGTGGTAACTCTTAACCGGCATAGAAAGCCCCATCTGTCTCCTGAGGGTCGGCTGGTGGCTTTGAACTGCTGACTGCGGTTAGCAGCCCGACTTCTAACCACGACGCCACCAGGAGAGGGCTATTAGGGGGAGGAAATGCTGCCTCCGGCCTAGTGGGGGACCTAGGTGGGGCTCTGTCGAGAAACAATAGCTTCCCGTTTTGATATTGTGCGGATTGAAGGTTTCTCTGGCTTGATAGCAGGACCTGACCTTCGGGCTCATTAGCATCACCTTCCTAGGAACCTGAAGCCTGAGAGTGGGCCTCAGGGGCCCAGGTCACCCAGCCCAGCTTCAGCCCTGACAGGCAGCCTGTAGGGCTTCATTCACCGACCGGTGACCTTGACCTGTAGGAAGGGCCCGGCTTAGAGCAGGCTGTCCGGTGGGTTGGGCATGGGCTTGCCAATGGCCATAGATGACCATGGGTGTGACAAGGCCAGGCCTCTCCTGCGATGCTGTGAGGGTCCCCCTCTTCCTCTGTCCCCCGCAGGCCGTACATCATCCGAGGCGTGGCGCCCCCAACCACACCCTGCAGCACCGACGTGTGTGACAGCGACTACAGCGCCAGCCGCTGGAAGGCCGGCAAATACTACCTGGACCTGAACTCGGACTCTGACCCCTACCCGCCCCCGCCCACGCCCCACAGCCAGTACCTGTCTGCAGAAGACAGCTGCCCGCCGTCACCCGCCACAGAGAGGAGCTACTTCCACCTGTTCCCGCCCCCTCCCTCCCCCTGCACAGACTCCTCCTGACCTCAGCCAGCCGCCCTCTGCGCCTCGCCCCTGTACATAGTTTTAAATATGAACAAAGAAGAAAATATATATTTTATGACTTCAGAAATAAATATAGTTGGGGGTTCAAACAGAACAGACAAACAAAACAAGCAGCAAGAAATGTGAACTGTGACGGGGTGGGCGGGGCGGGGAGAACTTTGTACAGTGGAGAAAATATTTATAAATTTAATTTTTTTCTAAACGGAACTGCTGTCTCTTCCTGTGTGCTGTGCAATTGGGGTGGAGCAGTAGGACAGTGTCTACCCCTGGGTGATGGACTGTCCGCTGGGCCGTAGGCCGGCCCTCACCCCCAGGATGGGCAGAGGGGAAGGGCTCAGGAGGCCAAGCCTCTTTGAGGGTCCCAGGACAGGCTGGCTTCCTGCAGGGCCCACACCCTGCTCTTTGTTGGGCTGCCCGCCTCTTGGAGTTCCTGGTACCCCCTTGCACTTCTTGCCCTGTGCCTGGTGAGTGACCAGCCTGCCCAGGCAGCTTCCACGACCGGCTGCCCCGTGTGCCTCCCCAGGCTGCTATCTGTCGAGATGGCGCTGGGGATTGGCGGTGTCTCCTGGTCCCACCACCTGGACTCGGCCTCCTTGGGTGGGGTCACCCGGCAAGCTAAGCTCCAGTTAGGGAGGGAATCCCCAGTCCCAGACGCCCCCGCCTTACCCGTGGCTGCAGGCCGGCTTCATAGCCTGGCCATCACTCAGCCAGCCAGCCAGCCTCCCCCGAGGGCCGGCCCTGTGTGGGTGTTGCAGCAGACAGCTATGGCCTGATGTCTCCTCTGGGCCTCCTGAGCCGCAAGGAGACAGGTAATTAGCAATCAGTGGTGTGACTGACCTTGGGCTGGCCTGTGGTCACCCCATATGCCAGGGAGGAGCCTGTCACAGCAGACTCAGGGGTGGGGGGGGCAGCGGGCTTGTCCTGGGTGCTGGGTGTGTGTCACAAGAACCTCAACACGCATGTTGATCAAGGGGGCATCAGTGAAAGCCTTGAGCCCACCCCATCCAGCCTGGGTGCTGGGGGGAGGCAAGGGTTGTCAGCCTAGTTCAGGCCCCCTCACGGGGCAGAGAATGGAACATGCTGGGACAGACCCTTGTGAGTTACCTTCCCTGCTCCGCTGTGCAGGAGCACTGCCTTGGGGGGGCAGGAGAGGGGGGCCCTGCTATCCAGAGATGAAGATCCAGCCTTGCCCTCTGGTCAGAGTTCAGCCAGCGGAGCAATTAGGGCAGGAGTCTCCGACTGCTTCCTGTGCCTTGAGGAGGGGCCCTTACCCCAGTATAGATAGAAGGGTTGAGTCAGGGCTCCCCGCCCCACATTCTGCAACTTCCTTCTGGCCAGCGCCCCAGCTCCCACCTGTGCACTCAGGTGAGTCGGCGCAGTGGAGCACCTGGCACCAGCCCTGTTTGGTGCAGCTGTGACCCTGGTATGGCCCAGGGAGGGCTGTGAGCAGCCCCTGGGCGCCCCAGTAACCACTAGTGGGCTCTTCACCAAGGGTGCTCTTATGGGGGCTCAGGGCCGCCCCAGGTGCTCAGGACTTGTGTTCTCAGACGGGCCTCTGAGGGGGTCATTGACGGAAACCACCCCCTCAGCCCAGGGGGAGGCCTCGGTGAGCTTAGAGGCAGCAGCCCCCTCCTGGGGGTCCTCAGACACTGTGCGTAGCCCCCACCCAGAGTCCTTGCGTGGCTCGAGGTTCCCCCCCTGTGGCCAGCAGCCGCCTCTGCATCCCCCATCAGAGATTTGTACCAGCCTGGCAGACAATGACCCTGGCAGGCACGAACCCCCAGCCACCTACCACACCTGCTGCCAAGGCTGGCACCTGTAGGGAAGCAGACAGCCTCGTCTGCCCCTTCCAGAGCCAGGGGTGGGTTTGAGCTGCCAGCCTTTCAGTCTGCAGCCCACCAGCCTCCTCCTCGGTCTCCTGTGAGCCTTGAACAAGCACCTGCTGTGTGGAGCCCAGGGGTTACACAGTGACTGTGGCCCCTCCCTTGGAGATCCCAAAACAGTGGGGCCGGTGCGGGGATCTGGAGATCCAGGATCCCAGAGGGAGGCCTTTGCTATGAGGTGCTCTGGAGTCGATTTTGACAGCGGCCGGGTAAACCCCCGAGCGAAACACCGCCCAGCCCTGTGCCAGCCTCACGGCAGCTCTTATGTTTGAGCCCCTGGGTCTACCCATCTTGTCCTCCCCCTTCACTGCCCCTCCACTTTACCCAGCATGACGTCCTCCTCCAGGAGCGTTTCATGCAGAGAACCCCAACGAGGAACGTGGAATCACATGTCCATGTTTAAACAGGAGCCAGGCGTGGAATCCTGTCCCCCTCCCCGAAACACGAGGCAATGCGCCTGGGCCACGATCCTCGGTGGCTTGGCAGTTATGTGATGCAGTGTCATTTGGCAGCCACGTGACGATGGGCTCAATGCTGTCGTGCCGAGATTTGCTGTGCTCACTCCCTCAGTTGTAGGAGGATTAGGGAAGGGTTACAGCCCTGACCCCCCAACGTCGGGGCTGGGGGGCTGTGGGGTTTCCCTGGGCTTGGCTTCAGCACCTCCCTGCTATGGAGTTGGTGCTGACGCGTAGTGAGTCTGAGACTGTAACTGTAGATGGGAATAGAAAATCTCTTCTTTCTCCCTTGCAGCTGGCTGGTAGTTCCGAACTGCCCGATCCGTAACCATGACGCCACCTGGGCTCCCATGTTTAGCACAGGAGAGAGAAAAGGAGGGGAGGGACCTCAGGATCCCTCGGAAGAAGCGCAGCTGGGATGCTTCTTAGGAGCCAGGATGGTGAGACTTTGTCTCGTGCACTGTGGACCAGAGTTACCGGGAGGGACCAGGCCCTGGAGAAGGACATGGACATTGTGCCGGGTAAAGTAGAGGGGCAACGAAAAAGAGGAAGACCCTCCGTGAGAGAGGCTGGCACCCTGGCTGCCAGGAGGGGCTCAGACACAATTGTGACAGTGGCAGAGGACCCGTGCGGCATTGTCCCTTTGAGCTGGAACCAACTTGGCGGCACCTAACACAATGACACTGCCACCACCAAGACAGAAGGGGCAGGGGCAGAGGGGGGCCTTGGATCCAGGGTCCTGTGCTGAGAACCCCCTAGACCCAGGGAGGCGTGATGCCAACACTCACCTGGCTCTCCCAGGGATGCTGGGCCCGCCGAGGTTGGCAGGGGAGGAGGACTGTCCCCTACACCGGACAGAAGAAGCCTTCTGCGAGGCGCTCTGAATTGGACTTCCAGCAGCCTGTGAGAATGCATTTCTTGATGAAAGGCTTTCGTGTGGTTTCTCCGGCACAGTAGCCTTGGGTTACTAAGACATGGGCTGACCTTAACTGAATGGAGCCTCTGAGCAGACGGAATAGTACCCCCCTCCCCCCATCTCCGTCCTCCCTGAACTTCAGGGCGGTGTGGCCTTACTGTAAGGTGACCAGATTTAAAGCTTAAAGCGGGACATCATTGACCGGGGGTGGGGGTGGGGGTGTTCTTCATTAAAAAGTTGGTCTATATGGACCAAATAGACCGTTCCCTAGCTTGTCGTGCATTCTTTCCAAACATCGGGACTTTTAAAAAACGCCCAAAATGGGACTCTCCCGCCAAAAGCGGGGCATCTGCTCACCCTACCTTACTGGGAAAGGAAGCCTTCGAGGGCACAATCCATTTACACGGCCCAAGGACAGCCCTCTCTACAGATGGGCAAACTGAGGCTCCCGTCAAAGAATCAAACCAGAATGCCCCCCACTGGTTTGCTCAGTTGCTCTTTTATCCAATGTTCTTTTACCAGTCAGCTTCCAGATGCTACCCCTCATGGCCACAGAGCGTCAACAGAGAGGGGCTAGTCGCCCCTTCAGTCTAGAACACTGATTCTCAACCTGTGGGTCACAACCCCTTTGGGGGTTGAATGACGCTTTCACAGGGGTTGCCTAACACCAACATGTATTTCCGATGGTCTTAGGAACCGAGACACCGCTCCTCTATCGTCTCCAGGCGGGTCCGCCCACATGCAGATACACCCACCTACAAGTACCTGACGTGAAAACTGTTACCCATGCCTCACCATGCTTCAAGACAAAATTTCATGGATCTGTCATTAGAAATAAATATTTCACAATATAAAATGACATTGTTTCTGTGATGTCCCATTTGTAACAATGGAAATACATCCTGTATATCAGATATCGGCATGACGACTCATCACAGTAGCAAAATGACAGTGATGAAGTGGCAACGGAAAACAATTGTATGGTTGGGGGGGTCCCCACCACAGGAGGAACTGTATCAAAGGGTCTCGGCATGAGGAAGGTCGAGAACCACTGAGGAGATGAGCTGTTCGCTGCCCCTGGGCTTCTAGCTGGTGGGTCCGTGTGTGCGTGCGTGCACGTGCGTGGGTGCGTTGGGGCATCAGACAACGATCAGGCGGCAGTGGAAGCTTGTGCGTTTCGTGGCCAGCCAGGCAGCTGGGAGAGCGGGATGTGAGTGCTGGGAGGGGGTCCTGCACAGGCAGAAGGTGGCTGGGACCCAGAGGTCATTGAGCCCCAGTGGAGGTCATTCTCACAGCCACACATTCTCCTGGTGCTTCACAGCTTTGGGATCCCTGCTTTGGGACCATACCCCGAGCTCAGTGGGGGGTGGGGTGGAGTGTGTGTGTGTGTGTGTGTGTGTGTGTTTCAACATGGAACAGGCATAGTGAGACTTGCTATTCCTCCTCTCCCAGAATGCCACGGCTCTACCTGGTCCCCACCTAGGCGTCCCTGTCTCCCTTCTTTCCCCATCAACTGGATGGCAGCCTATTAAAGCCTGAGCCTTGATCCTTAGCAGGGAGGCCCTGGGTGCTGAAAATGCGTCAGCAACTTGGCAGATCTGCTTCTCCATGCCCACGCGGGTCATCATGAGAAGGAAACGGAGAAGGGCAATTCTTCGCAGCCCTGGCAGTGCCCTTCCTTCAACCCTCCTGGACAGAGGGGAAACAGC